TTATTATGTAATTTTTTTTTAGTTTTGCCAACTTATTCTGGTTTACAGTAGCCTGGATGCCAGCCCGAACCCCGCCCATAACATTTTTTGGTCGGGAAGTTCGGTCTGGACTTAATCCATTGAGGAGTAATTATGATCAGTCAAAAAATGTTCGGGCCAATCAAATTGCCAGGGCGGGCTTTATACGATGATGGACAGATGGTCTGCAGGGACGTAATCATCACGTTATCAAAGAGCGCTTGGGTTGAACTGGTTTACCTCAGAGATGACTGCAGCTGGAGAATTGAGATGTATAGATTCCGCTGTCGCGCCTGTTGTAAAAGAAATCGACAGCGCAATTATTTTAATAGACGAACAGAAAACTGCAATCAAGGCATTTATCGATCGGAAAGATATTTTTGCCGTCCTTCCTACAGGATTCGGCAAAAGTGTAACTTATCAGCTGGCTCCAATGGTCGCTAAGAAGATGGGACGCAATGAAACCCTGTGGTCGTTGTGGTTTCTCCTTTGGTCGCACTTATGGAGGACCAAGTAAAAGAAGCAACACTCGTTATTTTACTTCTTCCAGCGTGCGTGCATTTGAGTTCTGTAGTTGACAACTGTGCTATGCAAAGTAGTTGACTTACTGCGTTGCTCTGATTGGTTGTAGGTCTATCCAATTGAGTGCAGTTTTTTTTTTCCTGGTTCAGTTAAGACACGCCTCATAATCAAAGCCCTATGGAGCAGTATCAGACTCACATTCTGACTAGAATATGAGTATGACGAAGTCAGGCTAGGTTTACAGTGTAGCAACCACTTTTAACAAGACAAGTAAAAGCTTTTAAAAAAACACAAGGGGGTATTACTCATTAAAAAAATCTTGAGCTTGTGTTTACTACAGAACTTATTTCAGGCATTTAACCAAAAAAAACCACTATCTTCAGAACAATGGAACCAGAAGTGCTAAAATGCATGTTAGAGGGTTTTGGACTACAAAAATACATCATAACTGCAGCATTCTATATGAATCTCACCTTTCAGCATTTTTTTCTGAGATTATAGGATCGTTCCCTGAGAAACTTTGCTTTCGCTCGCAAAATGTTTTTTTTTGTTCCCCCGAGAAACTTTGCGTTCGCTATCAAACCTTTTGATTTCTTTGCGAGCAAATGCAACGTTTTCTCGTGGACCTCGAACGTTTTTGCGAGAGAACGCAAAAGTTTTGCGAGGCAATGCAACGGTTTTGCGAGCGCATGCAAAGTTTCTCGGGGGAATCCAAAACATTTGCAAGAGAACTTAAAAGCATTGAAATATATATTTTTTCCTTCCTCGTGTCCCTTTTGGGTCTCCGTAGAATAAAGATGCTTTTGTTGGATTACAGACGCAAGTAAATTTCTGCTTGAGTTACGCTGTTCTTGTAGTTGTCGTGGGTGCTGACACCTATGTGAACGTATAACATCATTCAAAAGATTTCATTGTTGATACCATTGTAGAAATGCACAATATGCTGTTTGCAGTCATAATTTAAAAAAATTCAATAACATAAATTGATCCGCTTCATAAGGAACATGGGATGGGCAACTTCGTTCCTGAATGGCCACTGTCCTGAGGAGTTTAGCTCCAACCCTGATAAAAACTCACCTGACTGTAGTGTAACCTGAAGACCTTGATTAGCTTGTTGTTGTAATGTTTAATTAGGGTTTCCATATGCAGTAAACAGAATATTAGCAGTCCTTTCTGCACGTTGCCTTGTGTGTTATGTGATGGTGTGCTTGTCATGCAGTGAAGGACTTTAGGATGACGAGTTGCTAATTGGGATTGCAACAACCACAGCTATTCATAGCTGAGTTTTGCTGAGTTTAAAGTGATGTCATGTTTCAAGGCCGAGGAAACAGGATTGTATCGGATTCGCAAGGGCAAAAATAGACATGTTTGAGGAAGCTGTATTTTGGGCTCTCTAAATTCTCTCCTTCTGTACCTAATCGTCCCTTTTATCTCCAGCAAGATTTCCACGAGAGAGAGAGAGTGTGTGTAAGTGGTGACGTCCCGGTGCTGGATCCCCAGGAGGAGGGGAAAAACTGAAGCATCAGCAGACGCAAAAACAAGCGTTTGCTGTTTTTCCTCTGATCTTTTCCATGCATGTCCTCGCCGTTTAATCTTCCGTCCTGTTTCTGCTCAATGTTCTCCGTGAACTTCTGGCAAACCTCCTTGACCCCTTTCCAGACCGGCATCTAGGCCAGGCAGCCTCGTTCTTGCCCAGGGGACGTCTGTCTAAGACTTTCTATTACGGGAAAATTAAAGGGATAGAGAGCTCTCCTGGATAATGCTTGAATGCCTTACATTACCTGTCCTTTTCGAGCAACTTTTCCTGTTTATGTAGCAGTTTAATGGTTTCATGTTCCAGATTAAAGTTATCATCCATATCCTCATCATGTAGATAGAAGCTTTTGCTCTTGTACTTAGTGAACTTCCTCTCTAACTACTGATCTCGAATAACAATCATAAACAACAGAATGAACATTCAAAGGTTAAGAAAACCAGGAACCACTGGAGGGATAATAGACATTGTCAGTGTACAAATCAATATTTGTTTCCTGCCCTCCTTATGCACCCGGGGCCATCTGGCGATGCCGAAATGTGGACGTTTACCAGTCGGAAACCAAATTAGGCGCACGGGCCGATGTGGATTAATACCAGGAGTGCACAAACTCTGAGGAGCTGACAAATGAGGGATGCTGGAAAGGGTTTGTAGGAGGAGTGTGTGTGTTTGAGTCTCTCATCTGATCAGGCTCTTGTGAGAAATCCCATATTAACCTGATATGTCCATAAAACACAAGAGCCCTGGTCTGACTTATGTGACAGACCTGAATGTGACTGCTTTTACTGGAGGCTTTCTGAGGAGAGATGACTTCTTGTTTTTGATCTCCGGAGAAACAGTAAGAAACATGTTTGAAAAAAAAAGAAAGAAAATTTGGCCACGTTGTTTCATTGGGATTGGTGACATGACTATTGACTATTGGCTATTTTCGCATTTAACATGAGCCTAAATGAGATTTGAGAGTAAGAATAACATGTTATAAATAATAAATAAGCATAATTAGCCAAGTTAAATTTACTTTCATTTAAAATTTAATTTGAATTATTTATAATTTATTTATTCAGAGCCCCTAAAGTGACATGGTGATGGAAAATATATGAGATGGAAAATGTATTTTAATGCCTTTACTTGCTCTCGAAAATGTTTTGTGTTTCCCCAAGAAACAAGTGCATGTGCAAGTGAAGGCAAAATGTCCTGGGGAATGCAAAGTTTCTCGGGAAATGCAAAACATTTGAGTTTTGAAATAATTTTTCCTCCCATCTCATATTTTTCCCATCCCGTTTGTTCCTTTAGTGGCTTCATATTTTTATAAGATATAATTTGAAAAACTTGAAATGAAAGAAATTACATTTCTTTTACTCCTCATTCAAATCCAGTGGGTGTCGCCAATTCGATTTGACACTCATTAAATGGAAGAGAATCAGTTCGTAAATTCAGAATTTTACCTGATTCTGCTAACTGTGTTTAAGTCATTGTAATGCACAGCCTTGAGTGGCTTATATAGCGTTTTTGTAACTTAAACAGTCGCTTTGGATAAAATTGTCATCTTTCATGAAAACGTATCCAGGTTTTGATTTGCATATTGTCTGTTCTGTAGAAGGAAAGTGTTCTGACAGTTTTGGTCTGTTGATTCTGTAAACATGTACAGGATATAAGTGCAGAACATCAACACCACTTTAAAAACAAATATTGGTTTAATTTACGCCACCTGCAGATCGGTCTCCTGTGAAGGGATGGAACATGATGTGAATGTGAATGTGCCGTATGATGATTCGTTCTCTCTCTCTCTCTCTCGTTCTCTCGTTGTGTTGTCAGTGACTGATCCAACATGCTGAGTGTACCTCTGAGAAATGTGTATCGCACCAGGGACCTTTCAGAAACATCAGAAAATTACTTTTCAAAAGTGTTGCTGTCTCCGTGTAAAGCTCTGAATAATTGTGCTTTGACTGTTTCATGCGTCACCGTCCAAACATTCTATGCCGTTATGAATGTTATTGGTGTAGTTGGTTTGAGATCTAATTGATTTTGAGTTTGATTTACCTGCTGTGAAAATATATGGCAACTTTCAGAGCTCAGAAGTTCCCAGTCCAAAATTGCATTTTTTGAATCTAAACTTTAAAAAAAATACTTCTGCAATGTTTCGACATTGACAAATAAAAGCTCAACTCATGATCTCTGGCTGATTTTGAAAGCACTTACTTCTCTTAATATGGAATAAATAGTAAGAGTACTAGTTTGTAATTCTGAATTCAGCAAGTGCCACCTTATGTCTCATTCTGCTTAGTACACAATTTATACTTTTCTTTAAAAAAAAGTATAGTATGCTGCACTGGTCCCAATGATATGACTATACGTATACATTTAAGTCAGCATGTATGAATTTTTAATCAACTTTTGAGTAAAAATGTGTTCACACATTTAGCAGATCAAATAATAGCCAAGAAAGGTTTCTGGTTCATTCTTCACACTGGAAATACAAAGTCAAATGGATGTCACTAAATTGTGGAATACAATATTTCTCAGTGTGTTCTCAGGTTGCAAACTGCACACTGTTGCATGCCTATAGAAACTTGTGCACAGTATGCATAATGTAAAAAATGTGCATGAGTAATATCATACTATGCAATTCCAAGAGATGTATGGGTTATATCTTAACCATGACCACTCCTCTAAATTAGTTAACCCTCATCCAGTGTGCAGGAGGACAGTGTTGATCACGGCTGCTGTAGTACTGTGGTGTGTGTGTGTGTGTGTGTGTGTGTGTGAGTGTTTGTGAGAAACACATCACCTTAATAGCATTCTGCAGTTCTGTGGTGGTGTATTCTGCTGTTAGAAATATGTAATGTGTTGTGTTAGTGGACTTTTAGAGCCCTCGGGGGCCTCAGAGATGGGCTTTGGAGCCTTGTAAATTGAAATGCACATGCACTCTTCCAAACTAATTTACACAATTGCAATGTGACTGCCAAATAGATCCCAAGCAAGCGCTGGTCATTAAATCAGCGTAATCATATTCACACAAATTGTCATTCTCTCTCTTTCACACACACAGAGCTGTTAAGTGTTTGATGTTGGTGTTTGTTTGCAGGTATGGAGACATGGTTCCAAACACCATCGCTGGAAAGATCTTCGGCTCTATCTGCTCTCTTAGTGGCGTGCTGGTTATCGCCCTCCCTGTGCCCGTCATTGTGTCGAACTTCAGCCGGATCTACCATCAGAACCAGAGAGCTGACAAGATGAGAGCACAGCAGGTGCTAAAGAACTTCTCTCCGTCCCAATGGGATATTCTTCTTTTTAAGTGCCATTTTAAAGGTTCCTAATTTTGTTTCGGAGGTCTCCTACAATAGGTGTACATGCATCCAAGGTCAAAAAAAGGCTATAATTTTTTCTAATAATATACACTGCAGCATCACCTCTTTTCTCACAGTGTTTGAAACAGTTCGATAAAGGATTTGGTTTCTCTACACCCCTCCTTTCTGAGAGCCTGCTCTGCTCTGATTGAAAACCAAATGGCCATTACCATATAGGAATTTCAGCTCCGGAGGCTTCCTCAGTACTTGATACACAGTGAAACAGTCATTAAGGAATAGGGTTGGCTCAAATTTATTTCAGAAATATATATACAGTATCTACCTCCCCCCCCCCCCCCCCCCCAAAAAAGTGTTAAAGCCTAGAAACACCCCTAGTCCGTCTTCTTTTACTTTTGTCAAAAATATTTCATTATCTATTCCTATTTGTCATTGAGTATGAATGTGGGTTTTACCTGTTTTTAGGAATTTGTTATTATTTATTATTGAAATCATATTGTCAGAGCCGTTTACAGTACATCACAGTACATTGACCATTGGTGCTCATACAGGCAATGTAAGTTTTTATCTGGCTTGCTAAATTTCCAAATTAAGTATCCCATCTCTCTGTTTTGTTTTGGGGTTTTTTTCACAATAAAGTAGTCAAAAGGTCAAATGGCATTGAACGAACCGTGATGTAACTAAACCGCATCACGGGCATCATTACACCTCCGAGTCACTGCAGTTGTTTGTGAAACAAATGCTTACACGATCGATTCAGATTAATGCTCTTTTGTTTTACAGAAAGTGCGACAGGCAAGGATTCGCATGGCCAAGAAGGGAACCACCAATGCCTTCCTACAATACAAAGAAGAAGGAGGATTCCAGGTGAGCTTTATCTTGAGAATTCAATTTAGTTGCACTGTAACCAAAAATCTAGTCTAAAAAGATGTGATCATTTACTCATTCTCATGTCACTCCAGACTCGTATGGCTTTCTTGCTAGAAAATGTCAAAGTGTAATTTATGCAAAGCTGAATTTCTAGCATCATTACTCCAGTCTTCAGTGTCACATGATCCTTCAGAAATCATTCTAATATGCTGATTTGCTGATCAAGAAACATTTATTATTTTTATTAATGTTGATGAAAACAGTTGTGTTGCTTCATATTCCTGTGGAAACCATGATACATTTTTTTCCAGGGTTTTTTGATGAATAGAAAGTTCAAAAGAACAGCATTTATTTGAAATAGAATCTTTTGTAACATTATAAATGTCTTTACTCTCACTTTCATTAATTTAATGCTTCCTTGCATTTCTTTTAAAATAATCTTACTGACTTAATACTTTTGAAGTGTAGTGCACATGCACTTAATCCATGTGTGCTGTGCGACTTCCGGATCAAAGCAAGTTTGTGAATGAATAGATAAGGTTGAATGAAATTTCAGTCTGTTCGCAACGTCAGAAGACTTGAATCACTGAACAGAGCACACATCATGTGAATGGACTACTTTTACCGTCCTTTTTTGTTGGTTCTTGTAAGAAAGAAAGTCCTTCAGGGTTTGGAATGACATTAGGGTAAGTAAATGATGACAGAGTTTTCATTTTTGTGTGAACTGCTGTACATCTTTAAATGATCTGAAAAACTATAGTCTTGATCAATCTCCCAGTTGTTTCACTCAGCACATCCAAGGAGGAACTATAGTTGCTGGAGTTGACAAGTGGAAGTTTGCCTCGCCTGACATCAAATCTTTAATATTTACACAAAGATTTGAAGCATAAGGGGAATCTTTCAGTACAGACATTAAACATCTAACTAGGGAGAAATAAACTATCGTATATTTGTGTGTTTTGGGAAGTCGTATTGTTGAGAGTGTTCTTTCAACTACAGTTAGTACTGCTTACACAGCGTGTAATAGATGCCTCTATGATATTCCAGCAGAAATGGTTGATATCGGATCTTCCATAATAAGATGGTTTTCTGTTAAGCGGCTAACAGTGGCATCTCACTTAACAGTTTTATTCTTAAATACTTGCATTTTGTGCAATAATTAATTACTTAAAGGGATAGATCACCTAAAAATGACAATTCTGTCAGTTACTCACCCAAATCCAAACCTTTCTTTCTTTCTTTCTTTCTTTCTTTCTTTCTTTCTTTCTTTCTTTCTTTCTTTCTTTCTTTCTTTCTTTCTTTCTTTCTTTCTTTCTTTCTTTCTTTCTTTCTTTCTTTCTTTCTTTCTTTCTTTCTTTCTTTCTTTCTTTCTTTCCCCCATTGACTTTCACTGTATGAACGAAAAAATGTTTTTCAACCCAAATTTCTTCAAAGTGTGTGTGTGTGCGTGCCCGTGTTGTTGTGTGTTCTACAGAACATTTTTTAATACTTTCTTAACATCAGTTTATGCATTAGCTAACATGAACTAACAATGAGCAATATATTTTGCAGTATTTATTAATGTTAGTTAATGAAAATGTTCATGATAGCTCACAGTGCATTAACTTTATTTTAAAGTGTCCTTGTTACATGTTATGTAATAACAGTAAATTATGCAGAATCTGACTCCTCCTAAACCAAACCCTAACCCTATGTTTTTAATTGATTTTACTCAGTACTTAAATGTATAATTACACTGCAACAAGGTCATCTTAAAATAATAATGTAACCCAACTTTCAATCTTAATTTATTAGTAAATGTTGAAATTAACATCAAGATTAATAAAAGATGGAGAATTATTGTTCACTGTTAGCACATGCTAGTTCGAATTAACTTTATACTTAGTTGAAAAACTTTCTTTGCTCCAATTTGCAAGAGAAATCTAAATTTTAAAAACCTAAGTTAAAACTATAAAAGTTTAATACAACCCATTAAATCAGAGTCAAACCCGGCAACAAGAGAATCTCAGCTTCAGAGTATTCATATTCAAATGGTGGCTCATTAAGTCATAGAGCATCGAAAAGTACAGTTAATTTTTTCTGCCACCAGCGTTCTGCTGAGCACAGAACAGATTTGAAGATATTAACGATCATACAGTCTTTTTGATCTCATCAAGCAGTGTTACAGTAGGTGTAAAGGTCAGTCATTTGGCTTCTGAGAATGTGTCAGTCCCACAAGAGCCTTGTAATAACAGCTTTTTCAAATGGCCACTGACATTCAGAGTCAGCTAAACAGGGTTTCAGGGCCTTACCTGGGGTGCTGTGAGGAAATAGCAATTAACAACACTGAAGGAAGGACAGGTGATGCGGGACAGGTGGGAGGCGCAGCAGTAATTACAGAGACCCTTTCAGGCCCGTCGGTTCACTTGGCTTTCAGCTTGGTAACACCTCCCGGGCAGCTTTTTTTCAAGGGGTCAGTTTCAGGTTAGCAGGTTTCGGTTAGCCCCCTGCTGGTAGATGCCATAAGTACACCATCTGGAGGCCTGTAAGAACTGGAGATCCAGGAAAAAATAACCTAAACAATCAAAAGTTTGGAATAATTAAGATTTTGAAAGTAGTCTCTTACAGTACACTCACAAAGGCTCCATTTATTTGATCAAAAATATAGTCAAAGCAGTGATATTTTTTAAAGATTATTAAAATTGTATATATATAAAAATCATTACTCCAGTCTTCAGTGTCACATGATCCTTCAGAAATCATTCTAATATGCTGATTTGCTGCTCAAGAAACATATTCTCATTGATAATGTTGAAAATGGTTGTGCTGCTTAATATTTTGTGAAAACCATGATACAATATCATTCAAAGGTTTGGGGTAAGTAGTTATTTTTTAAGCAAAATAAGAAATTAGTCATTTTATTCAGCAAGGATGCATGACATTAACATTGAACTGACAGTAAAGACATTAATGATGTTACAGTATAGTCAAATAAATGCTGTTCTTTTGAACTTTCTATTCAGCGAAGAATCCTGAAGAAATTCCCAGTTTCCACAAAAATATTAACCGTTTTAAACAGTGATTACAATAAGAACCATTATTAATAATTGAGCACCAAATAAGCATTTTTCCTGGGCCGCTGTTCCCCATGAAGTCATTTATCACAGTATGATTCAGTAATTTGTCAAATATTTCAACAGGTTTTCTTTCACCTTCCAGCGTATGGGTATGTTTAACATTCTCAAATAGCATTTTCTCTGCTGCATTAAGTCATATTAAGTACAGTTTTTATTCCAATGGAAACAATCTCTTGCCCTTTCCCAATCACGTCCTTTATGAGGAAGCCCTGGTTATCATTATTCTGCGGTAATTGCCATCCCAGGGAAAACAAACCTGCTTAAATATCTGTGTCTCTCTGTGGTTTTATGTAATTATTGCACTCGTTTCAGTTCCTCTAGCCCCGGGATGTGCTCACTGCGCTTGTTGTTGATCATGTTGCTCTTGTAATACATTCTGAATATAGAGTCTACTTCACGGTTAAGGGTGGAAAATTAAGATATGCAGTGTTGAATAACAGCTTATGGATTTTCCCTTTTGTTTAACATAACTTCAAAGTTGCTTAAAAATAATAAAAGCAAACGTGATGTTTACATTTTTCTGAAGAAAACTTGGTGCTTGTGGCTGCTTACATGTCCTAAGTCATTTCTTTGAAATCCATGGGATTTTTGGTTTGCATTTGCCAGGCAGTTTTTTGTGTCTATAGCATATACAAGAATGAGCTACACTGCAACGTTTAATATTCATGTTTTGGGGTTTGTGCGAATAGCAGAACCTGATTTCACCAAGTGTAACATGTTCCTGGAACAACATGTCAATCAACCAATCAGATTTGAGGGACAAGTTTACAGTTTATCTAAAGTTTAGGCTTACAACCAGAGTTAGGTGCTTCTACATCAGTGTTATTCACCTATAATTTCCCTGTGATAGTATAGGGATAGGATATAGGGTTAGATTTAGGGGTAGGGATATGGTTAGGACCAAATTTTCGGACATGAATGTTGTTCCAGAATCTGCAACACATTCTCATCATTTGGCGTCATATAGGTGACGCCATATGACATTTCGTCGAAATCTTACGCTCATGGCATCCTTTAGCATCAATATAACACGCACTGTTATGGGTAGGTTTTGGTCTGGGGATACGGTTATGACGCCTTGGGATCTGCGTCTCATATTGACGCTAAAGGATGCCATGTGCGTCGGATTTAGGCCCTGTCCCAAATGGCACACTCCGGACTTGTGGACTTCCTCAGAGTCCACACTTCGGTGACGTCATGTAGTGCAGACCTATAGGGCCCTTAGCGCGAGTCCGCGAGGGCGCATTGAGAGGTATTTTTGGGACAGACTCGATCGTCACGCCGGAAACAGGAAGACGGTCTGATTGTTGTTGTGGACAGGAGCTACAGGTTCGGGGAAATATGCTGCCTATTGTTGTTGTGTTTACATATGACTCAGTAAAGCCCTGACATTCTGTTCTATTTATTTAATGAATCATAATGCGATCGTATTATTCAGCTCGCTATTATTAGCCTATGTTTGAGACATCAACCACTGGTCGATGATCATAATGTTTGTATAAACTTGTCATAAAAACCGTAATGATAATTACACTTAAATATTTTCTTCTCAGCCATGTTAACAATTGTCCGTGAGCGAAATCTCCTCCCATCCGTTGTCTGATTGGCCTTTCGCAAGGATTCCTGGGTAGTTAAAGTGCGTGGAGCCGGCATCTATGCGGGCTTCGCGGAAGACCGCTTCAAGGGTACAAAGGGGGCGCTGCTGAGCACACTTCAGAGCGTTAAAATGCTAAATGGGACGGCCTACGGACTCGTAGACTCGGCGAGTACGCGCAATTTAAGTCCACGAGACCGAAAGTCCGCATGAAGAAGTGCGCCATTTGGGACAGGGCCTTAGACGAGCGTCACCTGTATGACGCCTTGGGTTCTGCGTCTCATATTGACGCTAAAGGATGCCATGTGCATACGATTTCGACGAAATGTCCAAAGCGTCACATGTATGACGCCTTGGGATGAGAACGGGCTGGAATATGTTGATCCAGGAACGCGTCTAACTCTGCAAAATCAGGACGTGCGTTCAAGTATGAGCAATAGTGGTGTTTCTTCAAGAATCTCTGATAAAACAAGTTTAACCTAAAAAGTACTGGTTCACTATACATAATCATATTCATGATTATTCACTCTAAATTGTAATGTAGACATGCATTTTCTGTAAAGCTGCTTTGAAACAATATATATTGTGGAAAGCACTATACAAATAAAATTGAGTTGAATTGAATTGAATCGTAGCTATATAGCATTCATAAATAGCTATTCAAAATCACTTTAAGTTTAGAGGGGTAATTAATCCAAAAGTGAAATTTCTGGCATTCATGTTGTTATAAATGTGTATGACTTTATTTCTTTAGCTGCTTTCCATATAATGAAAGTGAATGTTGACCTCTGCTGCCAGATAGTTAAGCTAGATAACTTCTTTTATGTTCTACTATTTCTTTTAAGCAGGATTTACAGCTTGCAGGATTTTTTGAAGTGCTTTGTGGCGTGATGGTCTTGAAATCGTATCTGCCGCAGCCTCGTGTCCTGTCAGTTTATCAGATCATAACTGCAGGGATTAAAGCAAAGCTCTATTCCATAAACACACCTTTTCCCACTGCTGCAATCCATCTTCACTACGCAGGACAAGAAGCTGTATTCAAAGCATGAGAGAAAGAGAGAGAGATTCAATCCGTGTCTTTACTAATGCGGCAGGTAGAGTTCTCCGGAATCTTCTCAGGTTGTGAAACCCACAATAATCCAATATTTACAATCCCCGAGTGAGGGGGTATTTTTTTCAGCATGGATCTATAAACCCATTACTAACTGGCCTGCAATGCTATTTATAAACCAGACAAACGCTTTCTTCAACTCTTCAGTCTATTCTGGCTTTGAATTTCTACTTAGGTCTTACTTTTGTCTCTGCACACTGTTATTCAGTCTTCACCTTCGACGAAAGGTCATTGGGAAGTGTTCATGTGCTCCACTTTATGATTTATGTATGATTTACCTGTTCATGTATAGCCTTAATGTTCAAAAAGAAAAATCTGATGTATTTTTTTAAATAAACAAAATCAAAAATGTATACAAAATGCAGTACTATTTAGTGGTGCTTACTAATAATAATAATAATAATTTAATAATTACATTTTATTAAACATTATTGTTGTTGATATTGTTAATCATAATTTTGCTTTCCTTAGCAAGCACCACTAAATGTATGTATAATATTGTGTTTTTCTATAATAATAAATATTTTTATTAGGGCTGCCAAGCGATTCATCTTTTGTAATTTAATTAATTACATGATGTGCTGATTAATTCACCCAATTAATCTAATCTGTTTTTATCCCGCATGCATTTTTTGTAATAATAATAATTATGATTAATCCTTATTGTGATTGCCTTAGTAAGCACCACTACATATAAAACTATATTTTCAATAATAAGTATTAAACTTAATCTCGTAATTAAGTAACCCATCCTGCAACATTTAACTTGAACTGGTAAGCATGCAACCACTTATAATTAGTCTCAGAAAATATGGTTCAAAAGTTGTAACTGGGACGGTACCCTTTCAAAAGGTACTAATATGTATTATTTGGGTACCTTTCAGGTACTAATATGCACTCTTTTGTGGTAAATAATGTACAAAGTTGTACCTTTTGACAGGGTACCGCCCCAGTGACAGCTTTTGTACCTTTTTATTCTGAGAGTGGACAGCCTAGCAATCACCCTGAACGCTCCAGCATCATCTTCCCCATTAAAAGAACTGCATTCAACAGATTTATTGATCTTTTCTAACCCTGGAGCTCTTAGAACCGGCTTTTTTTTTTCTTTTCTCGGTACAGCCTGCGTAGATGCTAATCATGGTTAGTTAAGTCATCCAATGGCTGTATCTCTTGTCTCCACTGAGAAAATTGTGTTGTTAATGTGACGTCCCTATCAGCGCTTTTTTAACAATGGATTTGTCAGTGATTGATGGTTTAATACCCTCCGAGGTTCCTCTGCTCTCTTTCCTGATGGAGTGTCCGGAAAGAGAGTGTTGCAGCCCGTGGATTTGACTGAAATGTATTTATTTGGGATTTATTGCTTGCGTATCCGTGATTGGCTGGAAAATTACACTTTTTGTTCCCCGGTCAAACAGGAAATACATTATGATAAATTGAGATTCTTTCATTTTCTCATTTTGCGTCGCTCTGAAGGATGTATGACATTCTGCTTTTGCTCTGTTGTTGTTGTGTCAAGATAACGGAGTGAATCCTTTATTGAAACCGCTCTGGAGAATTAGTTTGCTCACACACTTGTGCTTCGGGGCATTTTTAAATGTAGTTCCTGTGTTGAATTGTATAGGAGTGAAATGCTTTCTGTTATGTTAGTCGTTGTCTCCATCGACAAAGGATTGAGACGTTTTGTTTTTTCCATCTGAGAAGTGGAATTGTTCTTTGCTCCCGCTCACGTCCTACGTGATCAAACTTTCTCGGATGTTTTTGTCGGTATAGCTGCGTCATTTTATTCTACTTAAGGCTTTTTGTTCCGCAAAAACAAACCTAATTGTGCTTAGGTCCAATTATTGATGATCTTATCTGCCCCGACTCCTTCAGCCATCCTTGGTTTCGGCTGACGGGGCAGTCCTTGCTCTGTCACACAGCCTCTCTGAACAGCCTCTCGTTCCTCGATAAGATCGGCTGCTTTTAAAGCCTTCTGATGGGCTACTTCTAGATGGCGATAAACCACCTTGACTCGGGGGCCAGATGGTATCGGGGAAGCATAAAAGAGAGACGCTGAGACCGATGTTTCTTGAGAGACTTGTTCTTCAGGACAAGACATCCTTGCGTGTGATCGTTTTACAACGAGAGGTTATAGAGGTTACCGGATACGTGCGAATGGCATCAAGGACAGCGGTCTGTCTCGGGAGGTAGTTGCGTGGTAAAGGAAGGTCAAATCACAGGTGACATAAGGGAAATGAAGGCTTTAACCCAATGCAACTACATTGCAAGGTAATGTTTATAGCAGTTAGATAAAGCCTTTATGGATTAAAACTACAAAGAACAGCAGCTCTGTATCATAGCAACAAGTTTGGCAGGAAGAAAATTGGAATCTCCCAGCAAGCCAGTCACACAACATGGTCATATATTGCAGACTGTTTTGAATCATATTTAGCTAACATCCATATACGTATTTTATCTGTAATATTTTCCCATAAGTCTTAATATTTTTTACCATAGTTATAGAAAAATTTAAACAATTTATATATAATTTATACAGTTTTCAAAAGGCCATTTTCTTGCTTATGCATGGGTTTTGAAGGCGCAGTTGCACATAGTGCATCATCCTTTACACTGCCACCATGTGGCAAGCTGTTGTATGTGGAATGTTCTTCTCCTCCAAACCAAGATGGCCGACAGCCAGTCAGAAATGTCAGTTTGGTCCGGAATATCCATTGAATGTAATTTGCCGTTACGTAAAAAAGTAACGTGATTATGTAATGTACGTTGCTTCCAATGTGTCACTTTACTCGTTACATCAAAAAAGCAATCCGATTATATAATGCATGTTACTTGTAATGCCTTTCCCTCAACACTGCTCATACCAGATGAGATTAAAAACACCGGATTGCTAGTTTTTTTCCACAGTCTTAAAACATCAATAGATCAATGTAGATTTCAGGGTAATAAGGGTAAATCAACATACTCTGTGTGAAGTTCTTCTCCATCTTCTCTGGTCAAACAGGAACAAACTCAATTGCAATAACTGAAGCTGTATTATATTTTTTTGTATATTTTATAGTTTTAACATGATTTTATATCTTTTCATTTATTGGTTTGTTAAATACAGTATTACTGTGTTATTACTGTATTATGTTTAATACAGCATCTCTTCAGTTAAAAACAAAAACGCATACTGTGTCCACTCAAGTGGACACCTGAAAATCTTGTTTTTCATGCCCTAAAATAAAAACATGAAAAAAATCCTGACTGAGTAAATATATGTATTTTGGTTTTAAATAAATGCTGTTATACTGAACTTTTAATTAGGAACTTTCTATTATTAATGAATGACATTTGTGAAATATATTAAAACCGAAAATTGTAATAATATTTCACAATATTACTGGTTTTATTGTATTTTGCATGAGAGACTTCTTCCCAAATCAGTAAGAATCAACTATAATGAAGTTGAACAGTTTTTTTTTTTTGTTTAGTTATTGCAAAAACAAAAGGTAAAAACATATCTTTTATAAAACGTATCCAGCCATATTAAATTGGAGATGACAGTGAACAAAATGTTTTTGTTCTTTAACAAAAATAAACCTGAAGTCTTGATGATGCTATCAACCTCTGAAGGGTGTAAATAGTCGTGGTCTCTTTAAATAGATCTGTGTCCACTTAAGATAGATGTTTTAAGGTGAGTAGCTTGTATCTGAAACATTGTTTTTATGGATCGCCCTAAATAAACTTTTGTGTTTTTTATCTCTCAGTTTCCAGACAATGACAGCGCTCTGTGTCTGAAGAACAGATCTTCGTTTGAGCACCAACATCATCACCTGCTACATTGTCTGGAAAAGACAACCGTGAGTACAGCTCCTCCGCTCAGCAAACGATCATACATTTCTCGATTAAAGTGGATCATCCAGAAGGTTTCATTAAGCATTTCCTCCTGTTTTCCAACAGAACCATGAGTTCACAGACGAGCTGACGTTCAGTGAGATGTGCATGACTGAGTCTTTGGGTTACCGTACCAGCCGCAGCACCTCCATCTCCAGCCAGCAGGGGCTGTCGACGTCCTGTTGCCCCCGCAGAGCTAAGAGAAGAGCCATCCGCCTCGCCAACTCCACCGTATCCGTCAGCCGGGGCAGCGTGCAGGAGCTGGACACTCTACAAGTGCACAAAACATATGTTGGACCCCAAAGGTATGACATCAGACAGGCATGGTGATGTCATTTTCACTCTCAAATCAAATGGAAAAAAAGTATCATGAAATATGTATTGTGAAAAAGACTCAAATAAACTTAGATCTACTTTATTTAGCATAAAGAAAAGAGTATTTTTAGGACCATTACAAATATATCATTATTATATCAGTTATTTTTCATATATAGTATACTGTATGTATATTTATATATGTATACAGTACATACATGCATGCATACACAAATGTATTTTTTCATTTGTAAGGTAGACACATGCATTTTCTGTAAAGCTGCTTTGAAATTATATTTATTATTAAAAAAACGGTATACAAATAAGTAAAAAAGTTGTATTTCTTTTTTTAAGAATTACTTTTATCCAGTAAGGATGCTTTACATTGAGACAAAAAAATACAGTAAATACATTTGTAATGTTACAAAATACTTAAACGTATACATTTATATTAAAATACATTATTTTAAATTGTTATAATATTTCACAATATTACTGTATTTATTGTATTATATACATAAATGCAGCCTTTGTGGTCATAAGAGACTTCTTCCAAAAACAGTAAATGATCAACATTTCAGTTTAGGTTATGTTGTTTTATTATGATATTAATCATTTGTAATTATTAATAATTATACTGTATATTACTTAACCTAAACTGAAATATGTCAAATAATGATATAGTATTTATATGTAATGTTGTTTTATAATTATTATGATTTTAATTATTTGTATCAACACTTATACACTCACCGGCCACTTTATTAGGTACCCCATGCTAGTAACGGGTTGGACCCCCTTTTGCCTTCAGAACTGCCTCAATTCTTCGTGGCATAGATTCAACAAGGTGCTGGAAGCATTCCTCAGGGAGTTTGGTCCATATTGACATGATGGCATCACACAGTTGCCGCAGATTTGTCGGCTGCACATCCATGATGCGAATCTCCCGTTCCACCACATCCCAAAGATGCTCTATTGGGTTGAGATCTGGTGACTGTGGAGGCCATTTTAGTACAGTGAACTCATTGTCATGTTCAAGAAACCAATTTGAAATGATTAGAGCTTTGTGACATGGTGGAAGTAGCCATCAGAGGATGGGTACATGGTGGCCATAAAGGGATGGACATGGTCAGAAACAATGCTCAGGTAGGCCGTGGCATTTAAACGATGCCCAATTGGCACTAAGGGGCCTAAAGTGTGCCAGGAAAACATCCCCCACACCATTACACCACCACCACCAGCCTGCACAGTGGTAACAAGGCATGATGGTTCCATGTTCTCATTCTGTTTACGCCAAATTCTGACTCTAACATCTGAATGTCTCAACAGAAATCGAGACTCATCAGACCAGGCAACATTTTTCCAGTCTTCAACTGTTCAATTTTGGTGAGCTCTTGCAAATTGTAGCCTCTTTTTCCTATTTGTAGTGGAGATGAGTGGTACCCGGTGGAGTCTTCTGCTGTTGTAGCCCATCCGCCTCAAGGTTGTGCGTGTTGTGGCTTCACAAATGCTTTGCTGCATACCTCGGTTGTAACGAGTGGTTATTTCAGTCACTGTTGCCCTTCTATCAGCTCGAACCAGTCTGGCCATTCTCCTCTGACCTCTGGCATCAACAAGGCATTTCCGCCCACAGAACTGCCGCTCACTGGATGTTTTTTCTTTTCCGGACCATTCTCTGTAAACCCTAGAGATGGTTGTGCGTTAAAATCCCAGTAGATTAGCAGTTTCTGAAATACTCAGACCAGCCCTTCTGGCACCAACAATCATGCCACGTTCAAAGTCACTCAAATCAACTTTCTTCCCCATACTGATGCTCGGTTTGAACTGCAGGAGATTGTCTTGACCATGTCTACATGCCTAAATGCACTGAGTTGCCGCCATGTGATTGGCTGCTTAGAAATTAAGTGTTAACGAGCAGTTGGACAGGTGTACCTAATAAAGTGGCCGGTGAGTGTATACTTCATAAGTGTATTTATAATCATTTTAAATAATTGTTAGTATGTGTATACACTATAATCCATAAATGTGTTTTAATAACTATAAATAATTATTTTATTTTATATTTATTCATTACAGTAATGAGAATGAGACTGTTTTGAATATTTCTTGACATTTTTCTTATAAGATGTCTTAAGATTCTTCATTTTTACACCTTCATATAACCTAAAAATGAAGATGGCAATATTCAGAATAATCAATATATTTCACACACTGATAAATACAGCTTCTTTTACTGTATTTTTCTACATTTATGTGTATGGCTCCAACAAAAACAATAACTTCTATATCAATTCCAGTGATATCCCATCTAACCTAGAACTTTTTTTCTGTCCATGCGCGCCCAAACAGCCGCTCCAGTCTGAACGCCCGGACAGAAGACCTGAAGCTCAATTGTGACGATAGGGATTTCACAGCGGCTATCATCAGTATACCCACCCCTCCTGCCAACACCCCCGACGAGAGTCTGCCGCCCTCTCCTGCCATTCCCGGGATCTTACGCAACTCCCGCTGTTCCTTCACCCACGAGACAGTGAAGATCTCCTCCTTATAACCGCCACAAGCACACAAGCACCCTCTACTGCACAACAGAAAGCAAGTGATGGGGGAAAGAGCGCTTCTCCTAGGAAAAGACACAGTGCATCTCGTAACATATCTGCTTCATTCCAAATCGACAGTTTGACGCAGACTCGCATGAGCTGACGTGCTTTTTTGTGACCCTGTTGTACATCGGAGGACCCCGGACTGTTCACGCAGACTGATCGGACACGCTTGTTCGGGGGAGATTGAAAGGACAAACTCAATCCGACGCATTTTACAATGATAAATCAGCAGTCATAGTGGCACAGAAGGCCTTTTACTTTTAAAGATATGCAATGTTTCAACAAGCAGGAATTATGCCTATATACATCCACTGCGTAATACAGTTGCAGGAGAGATTACAAAAGGTGGGAATGATCTTTGCAGGGAAAAATGCTATTACAAAAAAAAAAAAAATGATGGCCGATATAGAGGAGGTGGTGTATATGTATCAATATTTGTATCATACCTCTTTAGATCACATGCATCTTCAAAACCCCACAAAAAAAAAAAGAGATTTCTGAGCAATCCTACCCAAACATGCATGTTGTTGTATAGTAGATACCATGGCAGAGAATGGAGCCGCCAACATGCTACTCTCACATACTTTTGCATGAAACTTAATTTACCTCTGTTTAGTTTGTCCTGTTTTCTTTCTTGACATTGATGAAAAAAAGATATTTACAGAGTATTAATGATCAAATGTGCTGCACCAGATGTGCACATTAGAAAGAATGATAAACAAACAAACAAAAAAACATTCAGGCATGTTCTTTGCAAAAATCTAAGGCTGGGCTAGTGATTGAGTGAGTGAGTGCGCGTGTGTGTGTGTGTGTGTGTGTGTGTGTGTGCGCGTGTGAGAGGGCTGACTCGGAATTTGATCACAGATATGCATGGATACCGTTATAGGTATTTTTATGTTTTCTCCCATGGGAAAATGAAGCGTTCCTATAGCATTTTAAAGCGAATTGAGGGCGTTTACCACTGTCATTGAGTTTTACCGCAGTAATTAGTCACTTCAACTGATTCTTTTTTCATTTGGCTTGGTAATTAAGTGTAACCTCTAAACCCTAGTTAGCTATTTTTATACAGTAGTTCAAGCATCGAACACTGCTATGTCCAGTGGGTCATTTCTCTAATTTGTTTTGATGCTCTGTTAATGTTTATTTAAAATTCATAAGCAGCAATGAGACAGGCAATAATAGTGTAATTATTTTTTACTACAACTGAAAAGAAAGATACAATTCTAAATGAGGAAATGAGTACAAAACCGGTGGAATGCAAATTTGCACTTGACTGTGATGAAAAATATATTTGTTACTCTGTTTACAAGCCTTTTTATTTTTACGTTTGTTTTGGTTCTGTCTCTACCTCCCCTCTCCAGCTTCATAAAACGGTGTGAAGTGGTAAATTTAGTAATTGGTCAGGCACTTGCTCATTTTCGGCAGGGGTTTTGGATGAAACGGCTCCTGGTAGAAGATTAAAGAGTTAGATATCAAAAGCACAGAGGTGTAAAGTCTATTCCACAAATAAAGTGACCAGAACTCAGAAAACACAATGTCTGTTGGCTCTCAATCACATCTGAACATCTGCATCGATTATTTAGTTTGAAGTGTTGTGTTACATATCAACAGTGCATGGCATCAAAAAATGTTCTTTTCTTCAGATATGCTGACACCATCTGATATTTTATAGTGCTAATCTTGAACGCGATGGTTAAGATGTTCACTTAAAGTCTCATGGCTAATTGTTTTCTGGTTTTCTCCTGAGGGAACACTGTGTAATTGGCTATCAAATTGCATAATGTGAGAATTTGCCATTAAATCAAAATAATTTAGCTGAGCGTAATTACTCGCACCACAGCCAATCTTTTAGCGTTAAGTCATTATGAAATGCATTCGAAATCCATTTTACATCTCTAATGTGACATTTCTGAGAGGAACGGGATATTTAAAGCTGGAAATATGTAGGGCGGGGCTTGATTTTAACTTCCGGGAATTAGGAAGTTAAACCTACTGGATGTTTTTATGTTGACTTAGCTGCGATAAAGCTGCGATAAAACAAAAGTAGCAGGGATTTCTTCCATGTTGTCACATACATTTGTGTGTAACAGATGATCAAAAATGCATCGGTTGTTGATTGGATATTGAGATTTAGCAACTTTGTCGCTAGATTAGCGACTTTTCACACGCCTTTAGCCGCAAAAAACACAAAAAAAAAAACATTGATAGCGACTTTTTGGACTGCTGGTTGACATTTAGTCAGTCACTATATCAAACTTGTTCCATTGTCTGACAGAAAATATTTAAATAAGAACAGCTTTATTGGACATTTGGCTATATATTATATTAAAATACAGTATGTGAGCACGGACTAGTAGAGAAAACAAATGTAAAGTGCCGACAGTTGACGCATTACGTCATCTGGCGATATTTAACGTCTTTTTGCGCAGGCTTTAGCAACTTTCCACTAAAAATAGTTGGCAAAACTGGTCACCAGAGGGAACAATTGTTTACAACAAATTCTAAATGCATTTAGAAAATATATCGGGTGAATTTTCAATTCAGTGAACTGAAACTGAAACCCATAGCCTATAGGCCTAGCCTACTATTGTATAACTTTGATATGATGATCAGTTTTTTTTTTCTGTATATTTTATTTATTATATAGGCTTGTTTTATGTAATCAAAGCTGTTACATCCAGTTCATGAATGTGATTCAATATCAAGCTCCACTCCACCATCATTCCCTGCAACGGAAAAGCTGGCCAGGTTTTGCATGTCTGGAATTTATATTTGAATGGGAATGCTGATGGATTCCTTTCTCCGGGTATGGCAGACATCCAAAACACAACATATAAGCTGATTATTAGATATAGAGAAACAACTCACACCCTAAATATTAGATGTTTATATTCTTGACCCTGCTCTGCTGTACCCCATTATGCACTAGGCTCTCTGTTAGGATGACAGAAAGTTAAATTTTTAGGCTGGTCTGCCTCAGAGGTCTATCAGAGGTCATCAATGTCAAAATAATTGAGATGGCCAATCAAATCAAAGAAGGCCGTTACCGTTCACAGAAGACTCGAATTCCAACGCGACGCTTCACACTTGCTTTAGTTTCAATGGTAGCCTAGAACTAGAAGAGCGCGTGGTGAGATCGTGAGATCCAGTCTTATGGGTGAGATGCAAGTAGCAAAACATCTAATATTTGACAACTGTTTTACGATAAATGTTTTATCAAATATTGAATTGTTAACATACTATTATTTTAGGCCTACACGATTAGGCCTAATTCATAACTGAATGGGACGTTCGCTATTTCGAGATATTTGGCTACGAATAAGAATGAATGTGGGCATATTTTAAAATAAAACATTATTTGCAAATGGTTTAATTGATTACTTCATTACTACAATTAGATCTATAACTTTTTTTTAGAACCATTTTAATTTATTTTTTATTTTACCATCTATCCTGTCTAATCTTCTTGATTCTCCTTTCCTCTCAAGGCAACTAGCAAGAACAGAAACGATAAAATCGGAATAATTAATCTTTTTCTGCAGCTTTCATACGTTACTAATGAGCAGGCTGTGACATGTGAAAGGCGGGAAAATGGTTACGCAACACTGACCTCTAGCGAGTAACAGCAGCGCGAGCTCAAGAGGACAGGCTGTTGAAGGAAAAGTTCACACTAAAGTTACAATTTGTCATTGCTTTATTCACATATATAAACCGGCACTCATGTTAAACATTGTTTTGTTTTGTTTTTTAAGGACGCGATAGAGATTATGGAATTGTTTGCGCCACTGCATTAAAAAGGTATTTTTTTAACTCACAATTCTGACTTTTTTTAAAGCGCAATTGCGAGTTTATCGTTATAAATTTTAATTGCTAGTTTATATCTAAAACTTCTGAGGAAAAATGTCACAATTGGAATTCTGTGAAAAAGAACAGTGAGAATTTCGAATTGTGAGATTTCTTTTATTTATTTCTTTTTTTACTCCGCGGCGGAAACGAGTTTCCATGGATTAGCCTACAGAGTTTGTTTGAGAGGATTATCAGCGAATATACTGCTTAATTTAAATACAAGGCTCATTCTATCAATGCAGTTGAATGGTCTCAGATGAAGGAAATGAACAGGATGCTAATCAAAAATGAAGTGACATCACAGAGCCCTTAAAAGCAGATACAGCACTTGGCCTGTCCCTCTCCTCCGTCCTCCTTTCTGAAATCATGTGGTTCCTGCTCCTGTATTTGCAAATATCAGCTATTCAAGGCAAGTGAAAAACTGTATTTCCTAATTAAAACAAATTCCATATTCTGGCAGTGTTTACATCTATTGTGGTTTACATCCATTGTGTTCTATGCTGCTGTTAATGGTTCACCTAATGGATATAGGCTAAACAAACAGGCTATTGAAATAACATGCACATTTATTTATTTTGCATAGCCTATGTTTGTTTAATCTGGGTCCAATAGTATTCTTTTGCATTATTTTGTAATTCATTGCAACATTTTTCATTAGGCTACGTATCATTCATCAATTTATAGTATCAAGATAACAATTAAAAAAGAATACTAATTTTGCTTTAATGGCAGTATCACTTAAGCGACATGAGCAGAACCTGATGGCCATGTTCTCCAGCATGATTTATGATGATCCAAAGAGCATCTGGTGCTTCAGTGGAAGCAAGAAAATCTGACTGATAAATCTGATAAAATGGCTAATGAGTGACCTAGAAACAGTATAACTTTTTTGTTTTTAACATTTTCAAAATAAAAAATCTCTTTATTAACATGAAAATTAAGCTATAATCACGGTTTTACTATACTACTTGGAAAAAAAATCTGAAATCTGATTCGATTATTTCAATAACCTATGTTTTGGATGCATAATGCAGACAGAGAAATGAACAAAAAAAATTCGCCATCATTTTTGCAATCTGCAGTCTGCTAATTTATTTATGTATATGTTTGTTTATTCATTTGTTTGTTATTAATTTCAATAACATTTCCGTAGCTTCATTTTTATAATATAATAAAAATATATGTGATATGCCTGTATATATATGCATGGATAAACAAGCATCTTATAATGTAATACATCTTATAATGTAAATAATGTATAAAGTATTTATAAATGCAATTGCAGTTTTAAAACTTATGGCTAATTTGTTTAATTTCTATGTCTGCATTATGTAGGATCATGTCCGAAACAAAGATTATTGAAATAATTATACAAAATAAATTTTTTAATTAGTTAAATTTGAAAATAATTAATTAATTAGTGGATAAATAAATTAATAAATTAACAAATTTAAATGAAGTTAAATGGAGAAAAAAATGGTTATGCATTCACATATAGCATATAATTGCATATTTCTTACGGTCTTTTACTTATCTCCTCAGTATAAATTAACAAATTAATTTAAACATCAAAATCACTAGCATTCTTTCTAATATATAGAAGAATATGATAATGCATCTTTGTGATATAAAATGTATTATTATTATTTTGCTAACACTTTACAATAAGGTTCATTAGTTAGCATTAGTTAACTACTTTAGTTAACGCGATCTAAGAATGAACAATACTTTGACAACATTTAATAAACTTAGTTAATGTTAATTTCAATGTTCAATACATTATTAAAATCAAAAGTTATGTTTGTTAACATTAGTTAACGCACTGTGAACTATTACGAACAATCAATTAATGACTTTTTTTAATTAACTAACATTAACAAAGATGAATAACAAGTGTATAGCTCAGTGTTAGTGCATGTTAGTTAATACATTAACTCATATAACAAATGAGACCTTATTGTACTTTATGGAAAAATGGCAGGAATACATGAATATTTATGCACATTAAAACATGTTACATGAGTTGTTTATGATTGTTGCAATAAATTTCAAAGCTATAGACCTGAAGATTCTGAAAGCATGATCATTCAGTGGTTTGAATGTTCTTCATAACCCTGTGGAAAGACACGGTTATGCCTGTGGTTAACTGGTTAACTGATGCTTATGTGCAGCGGGTTTATCTCAGAATCTGCATAAACATGCAATTTGCCAGAATTTGAGAGCTGAAAGCCACAGGCAGATAAGAGACCGCTGCAGTTTCTGCAGAGCGTGTGGTTCTTCTGCTCTGAGAATTCACAACCACATTTTCCAGCGACCATATAAGGTTAAAAAAGACACCTTGACCCTGATGATATTATATCATATAACACTTTACAATAACGGCTCATTAGTTAACTACTTTAGTTAACATGAACTAAGAATTAGCAATACTTACAGCATTAAATGATCTTAATGTAAATTTCAACATTTACTAATACATTATTAAAATCAAAAGTTGTATTGTTAATATTAGTTAACGCACTGTGAACTAACACGAACAAACAATGAACAATTGTAGGCTATTTTTATTACGGTAACTAACATTAACAACGATTAATAAATACTGTAACAAATGTAGTTCATGTTATTAATACATTAACTAATGTTACCAAATGAGAACGTATGGTAAAGTGTTACCAAATTATCTTTCTGTTCCCTTTTTTGTGTGTTTTGTAGTACACAAATCAAGAAGCCTGCTTAAGTAAAAGTAACACTGTAAAAACTGTCATTTTTAATCAACTTGGATGTTTAAGTCATTTAAACTTAAATTAAACGGACTAAAAAATGTGTTGAATCTTGTTTAACGTATAAAAAAGTTGTTAAAAAGTTGATAAAAAAGTTAAAATAAAATTTTGATGTGTTAAGGCAATGTAAAAATATATGTTGCCATAACTCATATAATTTGTTACAGTAGTAATATTACTCCAGTAAAAGTATTAAGTACTCATTTTCAATTTTACTTGAGAAAAAGTACAAAAGTCCTTGATTTTTTTAGAATCAAAAGTAGAAAGTACTGATGGATTAATGTTTAATATTATTATTATTGTGTATTATTATTATCAAGTATCCAGCAGGACTATAGTTTACAAACAACTGACAGTCGGGGACCGAGGATCTCCTGTTCTTGGCTCATTTTAAGACTTGTGATTTTAGTGAATTGTTAACTGGAGACTCTTTCTCACCGGATCATTTGAACCAGTGAGTTGCTGACTCGAGAACAGAATGAATCGTTTTAACAGGTTAACTAGCAAATAACAAAAAACGAACCGCTTATTTGAAATCAGCTCGTTTACGAATCGGTTGCGTCTTGAAGCGGGTGACGATTTCTTCAGTTCAAAATAACGAGGAACGACATGTTTTTATGAAATGTAGAGGAGTAAAAAATATGATAGGCCTGTTATGCTTTAAGAATGTAGAGAAGAAAAAAAATGTTTCCAAAAAAATAAAAATGCTCTGATAAAGTACATACAGCCTACTTGAAATATGTACTTAAGTAAGTTACAATGTAAAAATAAAATACTTTGTTACTGTCCACCACTGTTTATGACAACATAAATTCAAGATATAAAATATATCTATTCAATCTGATAAAAGTTATGATGTATAGCACTTGAAAGTTTACTATACAATATTTTATTGCATTTAAAATAAGTACGGTTATTTAAAAATAAAAACACATTTTCATATTTTTTTTTTTTTTTTTTTGAGAATTCTTATATATATTTTTTTTTTAAGCAAAAAAAGTTTGTTTTGTCTTGCAGGCCTCAATGTGGCTTTACGTGGATCGAACAGCCCGTGTAAAGGCCGGCTGGAGGTGCGTTACGGTAGTGACGGTCAGTGGGGCTTGGTGTGTCATCACGGGTGGAAGAAAGAAAACGGACAGGTTGTGTGTAAATCATTAAAGTGTGGGGACGTGAAGGATTCCGGTTATCAGATTGCCCTGTACGAAAATCCACCTCCACCCAGACAATATTTGATGGATCAAGTGGACTGCATATCTAATGAAACAAGCCTTTTGGAATGCCCATTTTATGGTGGTGAAAACATTAAGTGCAAAAAAGATTTTTCTTCTTACGTTGCTGTTGAATGCACTGGTAGGTGGTGTTTCTGGTTTTGCATGTTTAACTGAAATTATTACATTTTATTTTTATGTTTTGAGGTCATCTTGGCTAGTATCCAGAGGTGAATCAAGACACAGTGTTGATGCCAAGCTTTTCACCATAGGAAATGTTCAACTGAGTTTGAATGGGCAGTGGGGTAAATGTGCTGGAATGGTGGAGTACACAACGCAGAACGGCAGCTTTGGTGTCTGTAAAGATTCTGCCTGGGGTAAGTGGACAAAAACAAGAATTTATTTTTCATTTCTAGTTCTTAGACACTAAATGTTGACTAAAAAGAGGAATAAAAAAATCATCTTTTGGAAATTGATCTTAATGCCTTAAAACTTTAGTATTGGTGTGTTCACTTATGCTAAGCACTGTAAATAAATAAATGTTTAGCTTTATGTATATTTTGTGAATTATAGTCTGTTAACTTTGGTGTTTGTCAATGCATATTAATATTAAATATGTAATTATTAATAAATATTTGTGTATATATATATATATATATATATATATATATACACACAAATGTTTATTAATAATTACATATATATATATATATATATATATATATATATATTAGGGCTGTCAAATGATTAATCGCGATTAATCACATCCAAAATAAACGTTTTTTTTACATAATATATGTGGGTGCACTGTGTACAATTATTTTATATATATAAATACACACACATGCTTGTATATATTTAAGAAATATTTTCATGTATATTCTGTATATAGATTTATATATAATTTATATTATATATAAATATAAATATTTTATATATAAATAATATTTTTTTCTTAAATATACATGCATGTGTGTGTATTTATATATATACAAAATAATTATACACAGTGCACCCACATATATTATGTAAAAAAAAAAAAAATTTGGATGTGATTAATCGTGATTAATCATTTGACAGCCCTAATATATATATAACATTACTTAAGGCCATGAAATTCAAATTGGTATTTTGTGGAGGAGTGAAGTATATATATGTGAAAAAAAGGTATGTACTATTGAAAGTGATAGCTGACACTTTATGCAAGGATTATCTTTATGTATTTAATTGCATCTGGCCAAGGTAAAAAACCAGCAGACAAGATATGCCAGGAGCTTAATTGTGGAGATTGTTTTCGGGGATGTGATAAAGAGAATGGACTGTTCAAAGGACAAAAGAGCGAAGAAAATGTATCGCTTAAATGTCATGACAAAGAAAAGTTCTCTTGGCAATGTATGGAGTTGTCAAACTGCTCGGAACGAGTCGGTGTGATCTGCACAAGTAAGTGTAAAGCTACTATTGTTAAACAGCTTTCTGGAGTGTGTCGCTCTGATTGGTGGCATTCATATTCTAATATTCACCATCATCCATAGCAACAGTGTAAATCAGTCTGTTCATCCAGGAAACGGAACATTTTCACTGAAATTCCTTGACATTTTTTCAGTAATTGTCCCAGACAGTATTTCCATGGTTTGTATCAAGTGAGTGGTAGCATTCACACTCATATTTACACTGGAACACTTGTATTGTACAGAACACAAGAGGTTCCGTCTGCGAGATGGCGACGATCTTTGCTCTGGGTTTGTGGAAGTGCACAATATCACAGATAAATCATGGGTTCCTGTTAAGGAGGAAGATGTCAGCCCTAAAGACATCTGTACGCAATTAAATTGTGGTACCTCTGGAAATTTCACTAACGATAATGGAAATAACAGTCTCCGACTGACATGCTCAGGTAATGCTGTTTTTTTTTTTTTTTTTTTTTTTTTTTTTTTTTGTGTGTGAATAATATTACATAAATAAATATTAATAAGTATTTAAATGTTTGATACGTTATTATTAAATATGTAATTATTAATAAAAAAAATACTAAATTGTACAAAAACTGTGTTTCTCTCTATTTGTATTAATGTTATTATTACAAATAGAACATTTTATTTTTTCTCAAGTTAAATTAATACGAGTTGCAATTTAATTATTGGGTTATTAATTATTATTATGCTGGTCGTAAAACCTTGTAAAATGTGAATATGATGTAAACGTTATTACTAGACTATATATTTGTATTTATTATATTTTATTATATTTATTATGTTTTTTGTACAATGTTATTGAAACAATGTTACAAAGTGAACATTGTATTGTTTCATCTCAAGGTAAATGAATACATGAAAATGTGTTGCAATTTAATAAATGGGTTTTTATTATTATTATTATTATTATTATGGTAATAGGGTAGACAGTTTGAGTTGACATTACACGCTCAAGGTCGTACAACCTTGTGAAATGTGAATGTAATTCTGACATTATTAAAAATAAAAATAAATATTTATATCTATTTATTGTTATGTGTATAGTCATATAGATAGTAAATAGACTACTTAACCAATATATCTTATTTAATAAAATAAAAAAGCTTTTAATAATACATCACATCAACTTAAAATCTCTCTCTCTGTCTCTCTCTCTCTCTGTCTCTCTCTCTCTCTCTCTCTCTCTCTCTCTCTCTCTCTCTCTCTCTCTCTCTCTCTCTCTATATATATATATATATATATATATATATATATATATATATATATATATAGGGCTGCTCTTATGGAAAAAATTATAATCACAATTATTTTGGTCAGTATTGAAATCACGCTTATGCAACATGATTATTTCACATGACTTTGGGAACTTGTTGCATTTATTAAAAAGACACCTTTCAACAATTCTTAAAAAATTGAAATTTGAACATTTATTGTACTTTTTGAACTATTAAAATAAATAGTTCTTTACAAATGCTCTTAAGCAAAGGATAAGAGTATTCAAGTAAAAATTATAACCACAAATAAATAAGATCAACAATAAAGTGCACTTCCACAATCTCTTGAAAACAAGTTTCTTTATTAGATTGTCATAGGTCACTTGGTATTTAATTTTCAAGTGGTTAAGCAAATTTGCGGTGTTCCCTTGCGTTGCAGCCACTACCATGTAGCAAATCTTGCACAAAGCATGTTTCTGCTCCTCGTTGCTTATATATATATTATTATTAAACACTGGGGTAGTAACAGGCCAAAAAAGCCATCCTTCTAATGAAGGAAAGGATGAATGTGACACGAAAAAATAGTCACCGAATTTTTGTGATTTTTTTTTATTTTATTTTTTTAAGAAAAAAAGTATATTTGAAAAGTCAGCATATTGTTTTGTTTGATGTACATTAGTAGTTTGTGTTAATAATGCATACAAGTTTTATTGAATGCTAACTGCAAATGTTTTATTTCAATTCACTGTTTTCATTTGAATCCTTTTTTATTTTATTTGGGGTTTTTTAATGACATTTTCTGTGTTCACAGGCAAGGTCAAGCTCCGCAAATTCACATCAAAGTGTTTCGGAGATGTTAATGTTAGTGTGAACGGCTCTGACTATGGAGTGTGCTACAGTGAATCAAATAAAAGACTGGGGGAGCAAGTGTGTAAAGAGCTTGGCTGTGGAGAGTTGCTGGATGAGAAAGAGGGCCGCGCCATTTCTAATGGTTTGCTGAGTAATGTTGAGTGCCTGGGCAACGAGGCGTCACTGTGGCATTGCCTGGCCAAACATGAGATAAAACGATGCAAGGCAACCACTGTTATATGTGCAGGTAACTGAGACAGCCTTGCAGTTAATTATGATCTATTCAAAATATACAGGAAAGTTACTTGAATCACCTGCAACTGAGGCAATAATAAAATATGATGGTTTTAAATGGCAGGCAGCTTGGATGTGCGTTTGAGTGATGGTCTGGGTCAGTGTTCTGGACGTGTAGAGCTGCAATGGGAGGGCTCATGGAAGTCCATAAACTCCAACGGGTGGACCGCTGTGGAATCAAACATGGTGTGTGAACATCTCAAATGTGGTCAATCTACTTCAATGACTAAACTCTTCATTGAAGGGAAACAGAAACAACTGGAATCGCCATGGCGTTTCAAGTGTGAAAGCTCTTCAGCAAAACTCTCTGAGTGCTTAAAAGAAACGAGAACTTTAAGTCCAAGAGCGCCAAATGTACAAATCATGTGCCAAAGTAAGTAATAATATGATATAAAAATATATACCAATTTTGTGTTTTTGACATATTTTCACAATATTTACAGAATTTTCTGCATACTTAATCCCAGTAGTTTTTACTTCTGTTTATTAAGTAATTAAAGCTAAGATATGACTCTGATTGCTCTTCATGTAGAGCATGCACTATAAGTAACCACAAATCTTTTATCTTCATTCGCAGAGGAAGAACTTATGTTCTTTGAAGGTGATTCACCCTGCAGGGGAAGAGTACTCATCAAGTCATTTGACGGTGAGGCCGAGGCCCGCCCGCTGTCTGAAAAACCAGTGGCAGACAACAAGACAGAAGCCAACGACATATGCCGTGCAATGCAGTGTGGTGACGTAGTCAAAAAGCAAAACGGCACATATGCCGATGTCACATGTTCAGGTATGCGTGTCAACACAATGTCTCTGATTTTAACCTAGTATATATGACTGCAATTTTCTGCAAACTTGCTATTTAGCAAAATGAATGACTTGAATAACTGATCTTGTGAATAGTTTTTTATTTTAGCATTACAGAGACCATATCATACACTTTTTTTACAGCATTTTTTGAGGTTAGTCAAGGGGTCTTATTCCAGTCACTTAATTGACTCTGTTATGATTGGCTATTGACTGTCATTTTATTCTAATTTTATCAATTGCATATTTCAGCACAAATAGTTTTGTGATTTTGAAAATGCTTTGCAAATAATTTTTTAAGGAAAAGCTACACTGCCTAAAAAAATACATTTACAATTTCTTAGTTTTTGAAAGAAGTCTCTTATGCTCACCAAGGCTACATTCATATGATACAAATTACAGTAATACTGTAATATTGTGAAATATTATTACAAATTAAAACTGTTTTCTATTTGAATGTATTTTTAAAATGTAATTTATTTCTGTGATGCAAAGTTGAATTTTCAGCATCATTACTCCAGCCTTTAAATGTCACATGATCCTTATATTGCTTGTATATATTTGAAAAGTCTTCCAGTTTTGGGGATTTACACATGCAAGAACAGCCACTATAGTTATAGAAACTGTAATTTATTTTCTCTGATAATATTTCCTATATCTCTGTACCATCAAACCACATTCATCTGCAGAGGAGCAAAGCATTTTCAAGATTTATGCAGTTTTATTTTTAAGCACTAGAGGGCCAAGAGCTACATAGTGTAGGTTTAACATTGCTGTGTGTAAAATGCTAATATTCTTAATGATGCCACTTGTAGGCTCGGTGAACGTGACACTTCGAAACAAGCCTGAAAAGAATGAAAGATGCTGGGGAGTGGTAGAGGTCTGCAAAAATGGAATATGTGGTGGAGTTTGCATGGACACCTGGAAAATTGAAGACTCCACAAAGATCTGTGATAACTTGGGCTGTGGTAAACCAATTCAGATCACGTCAAAAAATCAGATTCCGACACAATACCATGGATCTGTGAACCACTATAGTGTGTACTGCTTGAATGAGGTGAAAAATATAAGCATGTGCAGGTTTATTCCCAATAGCGACTCCATCTGCAATAATCCAGCCCAAGTGATATGCACAGGTAATGCGTACAGTTGCTTTGTTCACCACCAACTGTTTATGTTTTTTTAGTCATTAGAATTGTGGCAATGTATTTTTTGTTTTTTCATACTTAAAAAAAAAATTGAAGTGTCAAAATTAGGGATGCACCGATGTATAGGCTAATAATCGATATCGACGGAAAGAAATATTTTCACTATCGGCCAATGGCTGATTGTTTTAAAACAGCTGATGATAAGGGCTGATTATTATATCCCGTCAAACAAAAGGGGGTGGGAAAATGTGTCAGATTCCAGATTCTGTCCATTTTATCATGAAATTCAAACAATAAATTGAGTTTTTGAGTCATCTTTTCGTCTTTAATACAAACAAAAAACATGCATGAACGTCAAAAAGTATGTTGGGAAATTCAGTAGGCTACAACTTACCGAAATCATGTCTCATGTAATCGCTAAATCTGTGTTTCAACCGCGGAAAGACATCAGTAAAACAGCTTGAGAACATTTTCACGTAACGTTGCATTTACCTCAGAAAAGTTATCCAATGTGCACAGTTCATTAATTAGCTATAAAATAAATAAATAAATAAACTAGAGGGGACCTTATTTAGTCTTTTTTATTATATATCTGTGTGAATACATTTGTATTAAAATAAGCGTTTATGAAAACTACCTTATGTGCATATGTGAATTGTATACAAACATTTCAGTTTTTATTTGAGTGTAATTATTATATCTGAAAATAAATAGCAGTTGAATATAATAGTTTTGTCTCTGTTGTTAATTTTAATCTCTAATATTATGCAAATATACCAAATGAGAGCATTCCCTTTATAGTTTCCCAGCATTAGCTGGAAGAGATTTCTTTCCCTTATGAAAATCAAACTCGGTAACAGTATCGGCAGATATCATTCTGAATAATCTGCTTTAATTTAAATTTAGTATTGGTGCATCTCTCATGTTTTACACATACCTTTGGGTACCTGGGTACCTACATGGGTACCCTTTCCTACACTTGTGAACCCTGGGATAGGGTTCTTGTTTGTATATGTAAAATGTTGATATAAGAAAAATACAGCACAGTATGAGCATGCAACATGTGTGCTAGAAATGTTGCAAAATAAATCTCCACTGTCTCCTAAAATGTACCACAAAAACAGTGAGAATTCTTCCAGTTTTGTACATTTGACATTTTGAACCAAAATTGTACAATTGACAATCCCTATTCAACATTTTTTCCGTTGATGCCCGAAATAAACAGGGTTTAAAAGTTTTTGTGACTACAAAGTGCTTGAATATTTTGTGAGGCAAGCATTACAGAATTACAAGTGTGAAATGCTGGCTAACACTGAATTAAAATGGGCCTTAATCTCGGGTTAAATAAGATGTTAACCCAGGGTTAAGCACAATGTGAAAAGCCGTTTAATAAACATTTATTTGATACACTCCCTGCAGACAGCGTCAAAGCTAAACTGGAGGATCCAAGAGACAAATGCGCTGGAACTGTGTCACTGTATTACCCTGGGAAGTGGACACCCGTCTGCGAAGACAGTCTTGATACAAATCTTAGAAATGCAATCTGCAGGGAATTGAATTGTGGGCAGTATAAACCTACTACATTGACTTTCCAAGACAAGTTTCAAAATGCTGGACTATCAAGTATTCAATGTACGAGTGATGCCAACTCTGTTTCCAAATGTAACCTCGAAGGCATTTTAGTCAAAACCCAATGCACTGTCGGCTATCTACAATGCACAGGTATTTAGCATTTTATTGATGATAATAACTCTTGAAATGTGCAAACATTACTTTTTAGGTGAAGGGTGTAGTTTCTGCATATCCTCTGACTTTTGACCTCTCCATCTTAAACATGCTAACAGAAACCTTTAATATTTCTGCCTTTCATGTAACAGAACAGAAACGATTGCTCCTGTATGAACAGAAACACTCCTGCAGTGGTCCTGTATATGCTCTGAGTGGAGGGAAAACACAGTTTGTCAGTGGACAGGGATGGGGCAAAGAGGAAGGGCAAAAGATGTGCGAGTATCTACAGTGTGGAGACTACATATCACACTCCACTATACCCAAAGACACAAACGAGTGGTGGAATAGGACCTATAATTGCTCAGGGAAGACGGATATTTGGGAATGTGAGAGACATGACCAGGCCTCCCAGCTTCAACAATTAAACATCAAATGTAACGGTAGGTATCACCTCAGTTATAAACTCTTACTTTTTGAGAAGTTTTTTTTTAGCAGCACTGCCAACAATTTGTTTTTTTGACATTTGAGTAAACCAGGGTTGTGCACCATTCAGAATTAAATTGACAATCCCCTTCTAATTCCAGTTCAGTTATAAATGAATGAATATATTTGTGCATATATATATATATATATATATATATATACACTGTTATGGAAGAAAGTATAAAAGTAAAGTATATATATATTAAATGTACAGTATATTAGGTTTATTATAGTTAACTGAAACTAGTTGCCAAAGCAACATTTCTCATTGTAATTTAGTTCAACTTGTACAAAAATAACCTCAACTGAAATCACCTATATAGACATATTTTAAAAAAAATACCAAAACTGTTAAAAATGACAAAAACACAACAAAATTGCTAAAACTTTAAATAAATGAAAAATAAAATTCAAAATATAAAAATAAAAACTTTCAAAATTTTAATAAAAACTGGAATAGTATATCAATGATGCTAAAATAACACACACACACACACACACATATATATATATATATATATATATATATAAACATTTTACTTTTTTTTTTTTACCATTATAGAAGACTTAATTTCCCAGAATGCTCTAATTTACCCTAAAGTGTTCAATACGAACATAAACAGCATGTCAGTATTTAATATTTTGCCTGTTTAGTTGGATTTTGTTTTGGTTTGCAATTAAGTATCAACTCAAGATACCATGGGCGTGCCAAACTCATGACTTGAAAGGGCATCAATTCTTAAACTCTTTCCCAACTACTCTATAAACATACCACACAGGAATATCTGATTGTCTGGTTTCATTCCTCTCCAGGTACACCTCCAGCCATTGTCCTCTCAAAAAAATGCACAGGCGAGGTGAGAATAAATAACGAGAATGTTTGTGCGTCTATGGACGATCAGATGTACAGTGAGTTATGTGACAACCTCGGCTGTGGTACGGCCTTCCACCACTGGAGTACAGATTTAAAGAAATCAAATTGCTGGGATTTCAGCTGCACTGGCAAGGAGACGCTGCTGTGGCAGTGCGGCTTTAAGAAGGACGTATTTAACAAAATCCTTTCTGTGACATGTCAAAGTAAGTCATACACATAATACTGGGCTATAAATAGGACTGTTACTGTAAATAATGAATGGATGCTGAAATGTATAGTTCCTCTTTTTAAGGTACACTATGTAACTTTTTTTTTTGTTCAAAATTTACAACATTTAAATGAGTCAATCCATCATCAATCCTTTTTTTCCAAAACGTGTATTGTCTTACCCTGATTCACTATGGTAAGCCTGTTATAAGTTTTTATATTTTATTTCTCTGGAAATTGCATACACACTTCACTCACCTGCGCGTATCTGTAAATAGAGAAAGGTTGCTGGGAGTAGCATATGTTAGTTGTCACAACGAGTGAGAAAGGTTGACATGGAGCTGCTAAATCTCGAACTTCTCAATCTCGAACTTGATAAATATAATGCGCCAGAGCTCGTAATAAAACCAGAATCAACATAGGATTTTCAGAGATGGTGACAACTGAGGGATTTGAAACGTGAAAGTAAAATGCTATAGCACTCTAACAGAGGTCATTGTAAAGCATTATCTATCGCAGTGTTAATTTCGTTGACGAAAATAACGACGAAAATTATTCGTCAACGACATTTTTTCACAGCCGAAAACGAGACGATAACTAAATAAAACCTAGTTTTGAATGACAAAGACTATGACGAAAATCTATTGACATTTTCGTCAACGAATAAAAACTAGACGAAAATGTTAGATAGTGACGATTTGGGAAGCGATCCGTCAGAACTGATGTCCTGCGTGTGTGGTAGATGCGCACATTTGTAGGCTACTGTAACGTGATCTACCCCGCGGTCATAAAACGTTAAAAAATGTGAACGTCTGGGAGAATGAGTAGAGCAGACATATAGATCTCTGAATAAGAGTGACGATGCAAAAAAGAGCTCTATTCGGTGCGGTTTTCTGTGCGCACACACCTAACCCGAAGCGTGCAGTCATGCACAATACACCTACAGCGCGCGAGTAGGCTACTGAATTGAGCTTTCGTGTCTGAATGGAGAAATACACAACAGTATGTCTAAATGTCCTTTTTGGAGAGTATTCATGTAAACTATGCTGGTTATGTCTTAAACTGTGAGTGTGTCAGATGTGCATCAGTGCAATTGTATCCGCATGTCATTGGACATGATCCGACGTCTTAAAGTGACAGTGGCAATAAACCTAATGCGGTCCGTGTCCTTAATTTTGATCAAGCAACAAAATAAAAAAGAGAAAAGCATTCACTGTTTGTTAATAGCTTTAATAAGGATTAATTATATTTAATTCATACAAATAAATATGTCTGCTTGAAAGAATAAAGAATGATGTGTAAGTAGTTATAAGGAATGACTATATCATTCATTGTAAAGAAGACTGTGTTGTACTTTAGGAAAAGTGGTTTTATTTCATTTTAAGATATGTTTTAAGTAACAGCAGTTAAATCTGTATCTGTATTGCATGTTCAAACTTAAAAATCATTCATATTAATAGGTTAATAGATGTTTTCCCCGGGAGTATATGGGTTTGGAAATTTTAGAGAAATTCTAAATTAACGCATTACAATTGAACTAAACCCATTATATTTTAGTCGACTAAATCTACTGTAGATTTAGTCGACTAAAATGTTATTGTATTTCGTCGACTAAAACTAGACTAAAACTAAAACAATTCAGATGACTAAAATATGACTAAAACTAAATGGCATTTTAGTCAAAAGACTAAGACTAAAACTAAATCAAAATTTGCTGACAAAATTAACACTGATCTATCGGATCATTTCATTATGGTTGTTGTAGCGCTGTGCTGGAATATATTTTCAAGGAAGTACAGTGTCTATTAATGGGTAAAGCTACAGTAACGTCTTCAGCTTGAGATCCTTTCCATCTAAACTGGTTATATCTCTCAAGCCTAGTAGTGAATGTTTTATGAGCAGCAATATAACCATATTCATCCGCACAGTCACGCAGAACCAAAACAATGTTCTTCCGCAAAATGCATGCGGTTTTGATTTTTTGTAGCTGTTGGTCAATCTCTGTTTGCTCATCTATATGCTTATGTACTGTATTCCTAATTCACTATTAACAGATATTTACACGTTTTGAAACATTAAAAAGATTAGTCAAATGTATGGAATATACTTCCAGTTACTTCCACTGACAGAATTGACATTTTTTTATTGCAGAGGGTATTGAGTTCGGCTCCACTGAGAAGTGTGGCGGAAAGCTTGTGGTCAAGTATGGAGATCAATGGGAATATGTCTGTAAAGATATATTTGCAGCTAATACTACAGAAGTTTGTAAAGTGCTTAACTGCACGAATGGTCAAAAACGTGTGGATGAAAGGGACATTGCCAAAGAAATAAAGGTGACCGTTAAATGCCCAGAGAAGTACCAGTACATTTCTCAGTGTGTGCAGCCTTTCAATGAAAAATGCACACTCGGCCCTGTTGAAATCAAATGTGAAGGTAAATAGAAGAGACGACAGGAAAATAATCTGTCTTTTTAGTATTTGTTTTACCATTGCTTTCTTTCTTGTTAAGTAGCTTGAGTAAAGGTTAATAGATATTCTGACCTGTGAAACTGTATCATTAAAACTGCAGGTTATGAAGAGAAAGTTAAATCTACAGGGAATTCTGGTCTGATAGTGGGTCTGTCGCTGGGCATGCTGGGGTTGCTGATTATGGTTTTTATGTGGATGAATAGGAAACGCCTACTTTTAGTCTGTGAGTATCGCTTGCACCTTACAGAAAGACGTCATCTTGATCTGCAGACGAACATTATTTTCAGTTACAGTGATATTTGAAGTGCCTTCATCTTGTTGACCTGTTGATGGCGGTGCTTCCCAGTCTTTGTCTCACTACAGACTCGCATAAACATAAAATGATAACATTTACGCAACAAAACATTAACTGTATCCATTTATCGTCCCTGGCCTCCAAAAGCACAATTTTCTACCTGTTTCTCTTTTTGCAGTACGAAATTACAGAAATAAAAATGGCAAAGACATCAACATTGACAGGAATGAAATGAATAACATGGAGAAAGAGGACAGAGGTATATCATTTAATTATTATTTTGAACGATGTGAATATAAAGACATAGGATAATGCATATGTAAAAAAAGCATGAGCTAATACAAAACATTTGAAAATTATATCCAATGGAAATGTAGCTGTGTGTGTGTGTGTGTGTGTGTGTGTGTGTGTGTGTGTGTGTGTGTGTGTGTGTGTGTGTGTGTGTGGTCCAGGTAAACCCTATATGTGGACAAAATATCCCCACAAAGAATCGTAATATCTGAAATTAATGTCTGTGTTGGTCTATAACTTATAAATATTTAGGGGTGGGGGATATAATATACAGTTTGTTCAGTATAAAAATCATCATGTCTATGGAAATTCCCCATAAAACATGAAAACATAACTTGTTTGTGCGCGTGCCTGTGTATATTTGTGTATATTTAAAGCAAAGATATTACTGCTAGCCAAATCTGTTTCAGATTTGTCTCAAGGAAAGGCGTCATCATTAGAATATGATGAATATGAGGATGCGGATCCTGTCAGCAAGACGGGTAAGATATTCAAATAGTTGTCTGTCTGTCTGACTACACGTCCATTTTTCTGTAACTGTAAAATTACTGATGACATTTTTCATTATGACTTTTGCCAAACAATAATCAAGACAAGATTGAAAATATGATAATTAAATGATTTTATTTACACTGGTTTTCTTCTTTTTTTTAATGTTTGATAAACTAAAATGTTAATTTTGGTCAGCTAAAATGACATCCCATATCAGGCTAAATAAATTAAAATGTATGGATAATATGAATCAGACTGAAATGTATAGGAGATTTTTGGACTATGAGAAAAAGAAAAAAATTTATATAAAATATTGGAATATAATGTATCTAAATATGGTTATATAAATAATTATATATCGTAATATATATTTAGCATTCGCATATACTCAGCATTCATACAGTATCCAATATACAAATGCTGTTTAATGATGCTTACTCTCACGTTTTATACGAGAAAGGACACATAGGTTAAATTGAAATGGAATAACAAAATCATAATTATCTTCACACAATAAATATATATTTACTTATTTGTTTGTGTAAGAGTAAATCATATTCGGTTCTCCAACAGGAGAGGAGGATGCAGATGATAGAAGTGAAGTCTCCTCTGGGACCGAATATGATGACATTGAGGGACAAAACAGTGACATCTCTCCTCACCAATCCCACGCTGATGACGACCTCCCACTCCTTCCCAAGCGACCCGACAACATTCTAGGTACAGCACTAAAATGCACACGTCGCAGTGTGTGTGTGTTTGTGTTTAGTTAGTACCATTGTGGAAATGGTGGTGACCTTTTTCCTTCATGTTCTTCAGATCAGGACACCTATGAAGTGGAGACAGAGAAACAGGAGGACTATGATGATGTCATGGCTTTCGAAAATGCAGGGATGGCAGACACACGAGCACAAGTAGATGTAGCTGTGAATGCAGGCACAGATTCAGAAGCAGGTACAGGTGTAAATGCAGATGCAGTGGTGGTGACCACTGAGGTAGAAGTTCATGCTGAACAAGAGTAAGGATGCAGCCACATGGTTACACACTTTATTTCTATAGTCCACTTTAGACATTCCATTAACTGTAAGTAACTTTGCAACTACATCCATAGTTCGGGTCGAGAAAGTCATTTTATTTTCATTTTTGAAATTGGAATGCACACAAGCACACACACACACACACACACACACACACACACACACACACACACACACACACACACACACACACACACACACACACACACACACACACACACACACACAAATTGACTGGATTCAAGGAGTTTTTGTGGTTGTGATAAAAATAGTAATTAATCCTAGTTTTTATCTATGAAGTGTTGACCCAAATTTTACTTTTAAGATAATAATAATAAGAGATAAGATTTTATGTTTTTAGCATATTTCATATCAGTAGAACATTGGGAAGAAAATATAGGCTTAAATATGAATGCTGTGAAAAACCACAAAAGGTTTTGATGTATTTTGTAGTTATTTTGATCTGTTTTTCTTTTTCATTTGTTTTGAATGTGTTGAAGCTTGAGATTTCTGCAGAAATCCTTAATTTAAATTTGATATAGGCTATCCTGTTCATTTGTTTTTATAACATCTTTTAAAATTGTACAAGAGCAATGCCTTTAAAATCATCAAGACCCGGTAAAACAATGTTTGTATAAAAAATAGGCCAAAGTTCACTTAAAGGGATAGTTCACCCAAAAATGAAAATTTGGTCATCACTTATTCACCCTCAAGTTGTTCCACACACACCTCTAACACGAAATAAGGTATTTTGAAGAATATAGGTAACCAAACCGTTGATGAGCTCTTTTGACTTCCATAGTATGGGAAATAAAACAATCATCTGTTTGGTAACAGACATTCTTCAATATATATATATATATATATATATATATATATATATATATATATATTTTTTTTTTCAGCAGAAGAAAGAAACTCATACAGGTTTTAGGGTGAGTAAATGATGACAGAATTAAAAAATTTTGGTGAACTATTCCTTTAACACACTATAGCTGCGTCCCAACTCAAAGGCGGCATCCTTCGTAGTCTTCATTTGAAGAAGAGCCGTGCAACGAAGGCTGTCGCATGATTCATTGTGCACAGATGACTTTTTAAGAATAAAGTGCCAGATTACATTTTTAAATGCAAGGATTAGGTTTCAACTTGAATATCTACCAAATTTGATCTAACTGAATTGGACCACAGCTTATGACTGAACACAAATTAACTATTTAGTTTCCATCCATTTTCTGGATCATTAATAAGGAAAAATTTACCTTGTAACAATATAAATTTAGTTATGCAAGAAATGGAAGAATCTGTAACCAATTGTTTTCTTAATGCTACATAATACTCAAGAAAATGTAAAAACGCTGCTCACAAACTCCCCAGAATTGAATATTTACAGCTATTTGGGGAAAAGGGAAGCATATTTCATTTGGGCCGACGACAATGAGCATGTATACAGTTATAATTATGTGACATTATTTTGACTAATTCATATATTTTTTAAAAGATACTACTTATTTTAAAAGGAATTATGATGTACAATTTTACAATAAGATCCAAGTTTTCTGTTCTGTGTTTTATTTTATTTTATTTTATTTTTTTTATTTTTTGTGTGTTTTATCAAATATTGCACTGTTTAGATCCTTTGCGGTCTTTTTGTTTTGACCTGCCTTCTTTTATTTGCTTGCTTTGAAAACTGCTTTGATGGATTTTTCCACTTTATAGATTTATTTCACATTAAAGTAATTGATAGTTCTGACTCTTTTGTGCATTATTATGCATTCTCTTTAAACTGTATGTATGTCCAGTGAATCTCAAAAGAGCTGGAGGGTGAAACGATGTCAGTGGAGATGCAGTGCTCTGGTGCCGTGTGTTAAACTGTATCGTTCTATAACACCTATAGTTTGATTCACAGCACAAGTGTTTGCTCTCTGTGTTTCATCAGGAATTCTACTTCTAAAACCCACTGTCACGGCCGCCTCGCAAGCCGCAACAAAGAAGGAGACAACACGTTGGATAATGCTCAAAAAGAATAACATTTATTTAAGTAAGAATAATTAAATGAGACGAGACGCAAAACAAGGCAAAGCAACAATCGGATCCAAGACACAAACGGCACGAGAATGGTGAGAGCGCGCCCCGTCACAGCTGAAGGGAACTGCTTTATTTGCCGGCATCAGTTCCAACACAGGTGTAACTCCTTAATCAATAATGACGTCACTCACTCTAACTCCATCCTGCAAACCAAACAAAAAGAAACACACAAACCACAAATATAACCCATACTGGGTTCATAACACCCTCCCCTATAGAAAAGGGTTGACATTTATGAATCCCAACTTAAACCCTTCACCCGATAACCCCACATTACTGTATGACACCAACTTCATCTTACCCCCAATGTCCTCAGCAACTACGGGCCCTGTAGAAGCAATCTTAGGAGAGTAAAGGAAAGCAAGACAAAACATTGTTCATAAACAGTTAAGAAGAGTAAGGAACTCTAGACAATGCGTCTGCCACCACATTGTCAGTACCTTTGATGTGTCGAATTTCAAGGGCGTATGACTGTAGGAAGAGGCACCAACGAGTCAAACGTTGATTTGGGCACCGCAAAGAGTGTAAATAAGTAAGTGGGTTGTGGTCAGTGTACACGACCAAAGAATCTGACACTGATCCCACATACACCTCAAAATGCTGCAGGGCCCAAATCAGCGCTAAAGCCTCTTTCTCAATCACCGAATAATTTAACTGATAAGAAGAAAACTTCTTTGAAAAATAACTCACGGAACGGTGAATTCCCTCATCATTAGCTTGTAACAATACAGCTCCCGCACCCACGTTGCTAGCATCCACACACAACCTAAAAGGGCGGTCAAATTTGGGAGCTGCTAACACAGGAGCGGAAGTAAGCACTGATTCAGCTGCCTCAAAAGCTTCCTGACAGACAGAAGTCCAGATAAAATCGGCTTTTGCCTTCAGCAAATCAGTGAGTGGGGCCACCACGGTGGAAAAATTCCTACAAAATCCCCGGTAGTAACCCACTAACCCCAAAAAACGCATCAACTCCTTTTTGGTGGATGGAGAAGGAAATAGATCAATGGCCTCAACCTTGGCCCGAACTGGACGCACACAACCCTGTCCAACGACCTTACCCAAGTAAGTCACGGTGGCCTTGGCAAACTCACATTTGGCCAAATTGACCGTCAGACCAGCCTCAACAAAACGGGAGAACAGATCTGCAATATGACTCAAGTGCTGCTCCCATGAATCACTAAAAACCACCACATCGTCCAAATAAACCGCGACTCCCACCAATCCAGAAACAACCCTATTCATAAGTCGCTGAAACGTTGCAGGCGCATTTCTGAGACCAAAACTCATAACATTATATGAAAATAACCCCTCAGATGTAATAAAGGAAGAGATCTCCTGAGCCCTTGGGGTCAACGGAACCTGCCAGTAGCCCTTGAGCAGATCAAACTTACTTACAAATTTCGCGGCCCCAACCCGATCAACACAATCCTCAATACGAGGAAGTGGAAAGGAGTCTGGTTTCGTCACTTTATTTACTTTCCTATAATCGGTACAAAACCGATAAGTTCCATCAGCTTTATTGACAAGCAAGCAGGGGGATGCCCAGCTGGAAAATGATGGCCGTGCAATGTCATGATCTAACATATATTGAACTTCAGCAACCAGATGTAAGAGTTTATTTGGGGACACACGATAAAAATGTTGGCGAATGGGCTCAGCATCCCCAACATCAATATCGTGCTCCGCCCAATGTGTACACGAAGGTACATCACCAAATAAAGAGACATGATGATTAATAAGAGCAGTCAAGTCGGTACGTTCACTTTCTGTTAAATGGGTCAACATTTTATGGACATTCTTCAGAGTCTCTGAATTTTTAAGACGTCCCAACAGCACCGTATCCTCAGGGAAAGAAACCCCTTCATCAATTTCCTCTTCCAAAGGAGCAGGGGAAATGCTCTCAACTACCAGTGCAGACTTCACATCTGCTCTGGTCTCTAAAGCTTTAGGAGAACGACAATAATACGGCTTCAACAAATTAATATGACACAGCTGTGTTGACTTCCTTCTCTCTGGGGTGGCAATAAGATAATTTAAGTCAGTAACTTGTTTCACCACTACATACGGACCAGTAAACCGAGCTTGAAATGGTGAGCCCTCCACAGGTAACAGAGCCAACACTTGATCACCAGGCATAAATTGTCGTTTCTCAGTTCGCCGATCGTAAAGTGACTTCATACGTCCCTGCGAAGAATGCAATTGTTCTCTTGCCATCTTACCTGCTTCATACAATCTGCGCTTAAAGTCATTCACATAACTTAACAAATTCTGAGGCGGTGTACCTTCAGTCCAATTATCGCGGAGCACAGCCAGTGGTCCCCGAACGGTGTGCCCAAACACCAAATCATTGGGACTAAAATGAGTACTTTCCTGGCTCACCTCACGCGCTGACAACATCAACCACGGCAATCCCTGCTCCCAATCACCCCCCAGCTCTGTACAATAAGCACGCAGTAGGGACTTCAGCGTCTGATGGAAACGCTCTAAAGCCCCTTGGCTTTGGGCATGATAAGCACTAGCTTTATTGTGCTTAATGTGCAACAATTTCAAAACCTGCGAAAACAAATGAGACGTAAAATTAGAACCTTGATCACTTTGCACAATCTTTGGAATGCCAAAAATAGAAATGAATTGAGTCAAGGCCTTCACCACCGACTTTGCAGTGATCGTACGGAGGGGATAGGCCGCAGGGTACCGAGTCGATGCACACATCACAGTGAGCAAATAAATACTACCTGATTTTGATCTAGGCAGTGGGCCTACACAATCGATGATCAAGTGCTCAAAAGGTGGACTAACAGCTGGAATAGGAAACAGTGGAGCAGGTTTGATCTTCTGATTCGGCTTGCCTGTTAGTTGACAGGTATGACATGTCTGGATATACTTTGACACATCCTTCTTCAATTTAGGCCAAAAAAAATGACGAAGGATTCTGTCATAAGTCTTTCTTACCCCTAAATGTCCAGCAAGTTTATCATGAGAAATCTCCAACACCAATGAACGATATTTCTCTGGAACTACCACCTGCAAGATAGGATCCCCAGCAAAGTCACTTCCATGAGGAATCCATTTC